GTTCCATTTTAAAGCGAAATAGTGCACTGTAATATTGAATGTGTGTTCAGATTGCGACAATTGTTTGTAAAGATTTAAGGGGGCCCGGGCAATGGTTTATAAATAATCCCAATCATTTCTAATCCCAAAACGGTAATGTTCTGAATTAAAGGTATTTATCAGAAATTGAATTTAAGGGTTTGTGAAAACCTTTAGCGCAAATTAAAATGCACATTTATGTTTAAAATTTAATAAAAATTAGACGTCATTTGAGTGCATTCAGAATTAAAACATAGTCAGAAATTCCGCTTTCCAAAATTTGATTAAGTGTGGCCCAGGTATTACAGCTAACTGATATCTTTTGGCTAAGATTTCAAACAGAATTCTTATTAAGCCCAATAAATAGCAATTTTTAAAAACTTACTTAACTATTAATGTATTCACTTTTAATTTGAATAAAACAAAGCTAAGCATTGCTGTGCAAATTGCATTAATTTGTCTATTGAAATAGCTTATTTGTCCCACAGTCCACTGACATATTAGCCATAATCTAGCCAGCAGTTTCACTTGACAGTTTCAGGGGTAGCTGATAATTATTTTGCTGCTCGCCACCGCTTGTTGACTGCCACCGATCTCGCGGGAGATCTAATCACAACCGCGGCAAACACTTCCGTTTTTATGGCCTGCTGCTGCTGCCTCTGCTGGTGCATTGAACCTACACATGTTGATGGCTGCTGCTGCCTCACTGGCGTCGTCTTCGCCTTCGTCATCGTCAGCGTCGTCATCTCATTTCAATTTCTCAAAACTACAAGTAGCTGCTGACTTGGCCGCCAGCTAACATCAAGTTAACTGCAGCAGGCAGCAGGCAGCAGGCAGAGACGTCATTATAAAAATATGCTCAACATCAAAGTTGTTGCCCCTCCCCCCCTCCCCTCCCGCCTACTGAGCCTCAACACAATGCCTGAGCGGCTCCTTCGAGCTGGGGCATTGAGCAACTTTTTGCTCACTTTGCATGCTGCGCGGCCTTTATCTGTGGCGCGCTGGCTTGTGCTGCTCATGTTGCCACATATCCGTGGCAGAGCGCGCTTTTTACACTTTCCGGTTGTTGTTTCACGGCAAGTTTTCTTTTTGCTGCTCCGTTCGAAATGAAAATTGTGCACTTTGTATGCAGAAAAGTTGGCGCGACGTTAAAAAAAAGCGAGGAAAAAATCTGCATAATTCAGGCATTGTAAGTTTATTGCCGTTTCCTAAGCTCTTACGCATAATCATAATGCAATTGCCCGAGTCCAGCTAAACCGGTTAGTTCATGGGCCTGCTGATTCTGTGAAGAGGCCCTCATGCCACAGCCTCGCATAAGTCGTAATCAATATTGGGCTATATGATAAATTTGGCACGATTAAATTGCTGCATTTAAGCTGTCAAGGAAAATTAACAAGAGTTATGCGATTATTGTAGGCAGTGCTGCTGACGCAGAAAGCTGATGAAATAAAAGACTTTAAGAATGCCGCGTGAGTGCATTTACAAATTTAAAAGAGCATCCCAAATTTATAAAATTATTATTAATTTAATTTCTTAGTCACTCAACAACTAAAAGAAAATGTACATGAGTTTTGCGATTATTTTACGCTTTTTTTCTGACGCAGAAAGCTGATGAAATAAGCTACTTTTAAAGACTTCAAGAATGTCGTTTTGTATATGAATACCCTTATTCTTAAAAATCATTATTAATTCGATTTCTTAGATGCTCTTTACCACTGAAAAAAACGAGTAATGCGATTGTTTTATGCAGTTTTAAAATTTTAAAAAATCATTTTTTTTTATCGATTTCTTTTCTAAAAGAATAGAGTTATGTGAATAGTTTTTCTAAAGAAGAAAAGAATGATATTTTGTCCTTTGAGTGCATTTAACAATTGAAAAGAAAAGCCAAACATCATAAAAATCATTTTTAATTCGATTTATTAGACACTCTTTACAGCTCACATCCAGATCCGATGAAAAGTAGACAGAAAACAAAACCTAGAAGAATGTACGGCCTTTCCGAATCATGTACAAATATTTGGGGTAAGAAATGGATCGAACAACTGAAAGCTGTTCGATTAGTAGTGTTATGTACCTCAATGGGAAATTAATTAGTTGTTTTTAGCTGCAATTTTAAAAGCAAACATAAAACACACTCAGCTGAACGCCCTAAGCCTAACCCAGATACGTCAAAATGATGGCTAGAAATTTCTTTCAGCATAGACCCAAGAGGCATACAATTAAACCCAGATGCAAAAATGAGAAAAAACCAAACGAATGCTTCGACGCCAACAAATCGACTGCACCTGCAGCTGAAAATGTTGAGAGCGTAGCTCGGCGGGAAACTGCGGGGTGATTGGAAACAGAAAGGGACTATAAATTGGAAACTAGTATTGCTTGCCTTTCTTGTGCGGGTTGATGGCAAAATAAAGAAAAAGCAGTTAACCCAAGCCGCTGGAGTACTTGGCACAAATATCTGAATGCAAGTGTTTTTTCTACTCCTACTTATTAAGGTTATGAAACCTAAGGCAAAGCAGCTGAAACCAGGAGTGGCACAACTAGAATTGAGTTTGTTTTTTACAGCAAGACTTAGAGAGTAAGAGTTGAGAAATGTAGGTTTGTGAACTAGTTTTTCCAACTGATCATAATATTTAACATCAATAAATAAATCAATATCCATGATCTCTGATGATAATCTATCGAGTTAATAAATAAATAAACTATTACACACCTTTGACAAATTAAGCAAAAGTCTCAGATTAGTGAAAGCACAAGAGCTCTTCATAGAGTGACATTTTCTTGATAATGCGGCTGTGTAGAAACATTGTATTCCAATTATAATTTGGCAGGTATTTAAAACTGACGTGGAAAGAAATCCTATCTATCTGGCTATGCTTTTTCTGGCTACTGTCACGCCCCAAAAGCCCGAAACCTCTTTCTGCCCCATTAGCTTGGCAATCGTTAGTAGCCGCACATCCGCTTCAGCTGCTGCGGCTGCCTGGCGGGACCGGCCGACAAACAAATGTTAATTAAATACCTGTCCAGCCATTAAAAAACATACGTAAATTTATGTTGTTAACAAGGAAGTGCGCGCATGCGCAAGCGCACACTTTTATTATTATCATCGCGACTTCATCGTCGCCATCATCATCATTGTCATCATCGTCATTATCGTCATCGTCATCATCATCATTGTCGACTTTGTAGTGGTCTTTGCTGGTGTGGTTGTGGTTGTTGTCGTCGTCGTAGTCAACACTTCACTCAAACTTCAACCGCCATTTGGATGCTTGGATGTTTGGATGTTTAGATGGTGGTGGTGCCAAGGTGGTGCTTGCAACTGTTTTGCTGGCCACCATTTGCATATGTCGCTAACATGGCCACAATCGGAGTTGCAGTCGAGGCTGTCGTCGCCATCGCCATCGCCATTGCCACGTCGCTACGTCATTCGCTAATTGGTCGAGATACAAATCGCGCGCTTGACTATGCCAATGGGATTTTGGCCAAACAGCAAGAGGATACGGAGAGAGTGAGCGAGATAGAGAAAGAGGGGAGCTTGATGAGAACACTCTACGAAGCGGGGGATGTCATTACACTAAGCAAAAAAATAACCAAAAAACGAGCTAAATAGTTATCTTCGTCTGCATCCGTCCTATACCCTATCCAGCAACAAAACTTGATTCCTCCTTGAAACTATATAATCTTCTATTTCCGTACCATATTATCTTTTCATAGAGATCAGATTTAACAATTTTAATTGAGGTCAGCCAATTGGGGAATGATGGGTTCCATTTAAGACTTCAGAAGTTTCTGTTACAACTGTGGCAACTAAGTAACTATAGTAGTGATCTGAATAATCTATCTTAACATAATACCTTCAAGAAGAAGCCGTAGGGCAAAGCTTCAGACTAACAACGAATTAGTTTCGTCAGATTAGTCTTTCTTCTTGGTGTTATAAACGTACACACCAAGAACAGTATGCTCTTACATTTTCGATGAAGAGTATAGCGATACTATACCTTATTATTTGCAATTGCAGATTCCCACAAATTTCAAAGTCATCATATACACAAAAATTAGTTCTCACTTTATATAAAATTTGTTGCCAGCATATCGTTTATAGATTTTATACTTTATTGTTTATTGATGGCTTCAGAGCTTGTGTTTAGTTTTTCAATACAAATTCTCCAATCTTTTTCAGATATCTGTGCTTCCAAGAAAATATTTGCAACGCCATTTTTTAATTGTTGATGTAAAGACAAAAAAGTATGCTATATACGTGAAAATTTGTTATGCTTGGGAAGACTAATATACTCGTATAAGGCATATTCCGAAATCTGTATATTATTGACAGACAAAAGAGTTTAAAGATGGTCTAAGATAACCATAGTATAAGTATCAGTTAAATACACATAATGGAAACCTCTTTCTATTCTATTATATTTCTTATTTCTCAAATCTATATAAGTTCATATAAGTTCAGTTCGGCAGTGAAGTTGAAATGCAAAGAATGCTGGCTTTAATAGCAGATATTTCAAAAGAAGTTTTTGAATAATATTCATAATTTTAAAAGTAAATATTTTGATTCTCAATTGAAATCACAGTTAAACTTTTCTAAAATAAAACAAATAAAATCAACCGATGCTATTCTGTTTAATTCCCAACCCGCCTGAGCGCTTTTCTTCTTTCGTATCTTTCCGTTTCGAAGCTCATTTGAAACACTAACACTAAGATTTTTTTTCAGTGCACAGTTCGGCCGGCCAGTGGCACTTTCTTTGCTCCTAGCCACGGTGCAAATATTTGCTTAAGTGTTTTCCTGCTAACCATTTGCTTTATGGCTTTTGCTTGTACAAACTGTCAATTGACGCGCCCGGTCGAATTTTCATGTACGACTAGCCCGAGTATTTGGAAAGTGCTGCTGATTCTCAAATTGGCCAGTTGACATAGTTGTTGGTAAAAACATAAAACCAAAAAAAAAAAAAGAAATACAATAGTTACAAACTCACCTTTGTTCTGTACAGTGGATTGCTGAAGTCCCAGTCCGGCGCCACAAACAAGTAACCGCATTTGGAAACCTTTCGCGAGGCCTACCAATAAAAATAGAATAAGAGAAACATTATTATAATAAACCTGTTTGTCAAAGTTATATCAAGTATACCAAAAAGTAAGAGGATCATAAATATTATGAAACAAATAACAAATCAGCTCTATGCTAATTGAAAAATTGGTCTAAAAATACATAAATATTGCATAATTTTTGCCGTCTTATGAATATGATAATTAATTTATTTTCTGTTGTGTGCAGAAAACATAAAAAAGAAATGCATAAATTATCCAGAGACAAACAATAATCTTAGCATATGCCCACATCGTTATCACATATAGCTTATCTCCAGAAAATATTCGAACGCATTTTTAATTAAAAAGTCAATTTATTTTGGAAAGGTGCCACTGCTGGCTTTAATTTTGTTTCTTTGCTTTTTTTTGCTTCCCTTATCTCTAAGGTTTTGCATGATATCAGAATTGATAGAAAGTGCTTCGTTTCGGCCGCCAACGACAGTTAAATTTTTCTGCCAAACAAGAATTTTATCTTTGACGGCTTGGATTCAATATTCTATTACAAAAAAAAAAGATAGTGAAACAACGTAATTGAATTGAATTTGAATGAATGGATTGAATGTGACCAGCACGCTTAACTCTTTGGCTGAATTCCAGGCAACTTTATTGGATGGGTTTTTCTGGATCCCAAAAATCTGACTTATCACTGAACGTTGGATATCTCTTCCTGATTTGCGGCCTAAACTAATTCTTGATCGACTTAACAGATTTGCAGAGGAGCTACAATAAGGAGGCAACTACAAGTATGTCTACAAATAATTTTGGTATAACTCTGTCATTCGAACGCTATGTTTCTTTTCACAAACCCTATATCTTCTTCTGAAGATCTATATATATTTGCCAGCACTTGTGTTCTCTGCAAGTTTGTTTTGTTCTTCACACTACAAACCTTAAAACTAAATACTATGTATACTATATCGTATACACTCGCCATTTAAAGCATTAACGAAAACAAAAACAAAAAGGAAAACACTTCCAAGTGCCCATGACTAATGTTAATGACGCGAACCAATTTAACTGTCGGGTCTGACAATTTGTGGGCGCCGGCTTTAGCTTCATGTCGTTCACTATGCTTTGGCAAGGCTTTAGTTTAAAAAGCAAATAATATAAATTACAACAACAACAGCAACAGCAATAGCAATAGCAGCAACAACAAAGCACTGGCAGCCACTTTGCAGTTAGATAAAATGTGTTATAACTTGCCGCCTTGCCATTACTTGTTGTCGTTGTTGTTTTTAATATTGTTGTTGCTGTTAGTATTGCCTGAGCTAGGGTGTTGGCAGACAATGCAGTCCAAATTGGTCGGAGACAATTGTCAGTCAAAAAAGCACACGAAGCAGCATGACAAAAAGCCAAGAAGTAGCTCGTTGGCTCGTTAGTTGTGCCAGCGCCCACTATTAAGGCCTAAGCGTCTAGCTGGCTAGCTGCCTAACTATTTTCCATCTGGGTGGGTGGTTTTGCCTTTTGTTAGAGGCTGCAAGCTGGAGGCTAGAGCTGCAAATGAGCGTTGAAAAGCGCGAGTGTGGCGAGTGTGGCGAGTGTGACTGGGCCTGGTAATTGAACTCAACTGACATTTAATTTGTTTGCATTTGGTCGAGCCTGATTGGCAGAGTCGGTTCGCTCCCTATCAGCTACCTACCCTCCTATTGACAAACAATGCGCCTAATTAAGCTTGTCAACTGTGGGGAATGTGTACTTCGGAGCCAGTAACATGCCATTTGCCATGCTTTCCTTGTAAACTGACACTGGCATCACGTGCTCGCTCGGCTCGGCTCGGCTCAGTTCAGCTCGCCAGGCGCAGAAAACAATTCAAAAGTGTAACACGGTAGTTCCCAGACAGTCAAGCGTGGACAATAAACGACTCGGCAAGGGAAACAGAAGCGTTGCTGCTTGAGAGCAGCTACAGTGAAACCTCGTTTAAGTGTCAGAAGATTATGGCATTAGGGCTGGCTGGTTATGCACATCGTTAAGGTGTAATAAAGGGGCTAACGAGTGTATATTGGAACCTGAATTCGCATAATCTTGATTTATGGCATTGGAAATGATGATTAGAAATCAATACCTAAACTCTTGTTAATAATACCATTTCTTTTTGTGTTTTATAAACTATTTGTTAACCAGAAGCTCTAATTTATTTAATACGCATATTTATATTGATTGCGTATAAGAAAATTTATATTCTCCGTAGAAACGGTTGATCCTTCCTAATAAAATGTTTACTTTGGAACACAGAAATGGTTGCAATCTTTAGAATCCAGTACCCACTACAAAAACAATCTTTGAATTTAAATATTTGCATTTAAATAACAAAACAATTAATACATAAATGTTACCACCTACATACATTCATACTATAAATCTACTGATGTTCTTTTTCAATAGCATTTATGTTCTGTTATTCTAGCTTTTATGACCTATAAAATTCCCGGAATTCTTGCTTTCATACAGACAGATAGACCGAAGATTGGACAAATGAATATTTCTACTTATAGTCTTTTGTTTTCTTGGTCTTACATTAATTTTCTCTAAACTAGTATACCCTCTAACTCTTTAGATTTAGGATAAAATCTCAATCATAGCTTTCTAATTCCTAGAATTAAGAGCAGAATAAAATATCATAATAAACTCTTTAATAAAATTGCAGATTTAAAACATATTCAGTTTATGGAAATGCCTTAATATTTGAGCTTTTAACAAACAATTTTATAAAACAAAATAAAATATAAAATTGAAAATAATCATTCAATATTTATATTCGAACATAAAATTCTTTATTCTAATTGATATGAAATGATATTCTACAATTCAACATTAGTTTTCAACATAAATACAAATTGTACCACATATTAACATTATTTTTGCTTTTTAAACTTTCTAATTGTTATTTCTAATAAAGATTAATCGTAAAAATAATGCTACTGTCAAATAAAAGCGTGTTTTAACATATCTAGCTTATAAAGAAGTTGAAATATTTGCTTATTATTGCTTCCATTGAGGCTGGACTGTAGCAACAGCTGCTGTTGCTGGCCTGGACTTGCTGCCTTGCTGTTGTAGTTGTTGTTGTCGGTGTTGCAGTTGCTGCAATTACGCTCGCTAATTTTATTTATCTGACACTGCTTTGCATTTTATTATTTTGCAGGCCAACAGCAAAATCGCTTAAATGCGCCATTAACATTGATTTATGTGAAAAGTCGCACGTTTGTATTCAAAACCACAACAGCAGCAACAAATTCAACAAACAACAACAAGAAAATGCACCCAAAACGGTAGCGCGACTCAAGGCACGCGAAATGACTTTCAAGTTGCAACTGTGCAACTGTGCAACATTGCAACTGAAATTGCAACTGCAACATTGCAGCTGTCAGGCTTTCATCAGGTCCCGGCTTAGTCATTCAAATGAAGGCAGACGTACAGCGAATTCAACACGTTTCCGACATAAATCTGAACGACCACAATAACTGACACTTGGTCGAACTTCTGCGTGTGCTGGCATATAGAAATGACTTAGGCATATACTTGTACATACCAGTATATAGTATATACAACTAGTAGTGTTGGCCTCAAGGCTCAATAGGCATGCTCATGATCTATTTTTGTCACATTACTCCCAAGCTACCACGGCTCAGCGGTGGCTACTGAATCTCAGAATGTGACAGCCTAAACAAAAACCGTTCGCCACACACTCGCTCGCAAACTCGAATTGTTCATGTCATGGACTATGCTCGATTGCTATATGCCGGGCATAAATCGCAGTAGCAGCAGCAGTGAAACAAAAATAAAAATCGTGACTAAATGAGTCACAATTGTCTCCAAATTGTGCGAACTGCTTTAATTTATAGTCCACCAGGGCTCAAAAACAACAGCAAGCCACAGACAGACAGACAGACAGATAAACAAAGCGCTCCACATGCTCAAAAATTTATGCACTGCGCATGTCGCTGCTGACACACAAATCGAGGCAGCGATACAGACTGGGCCAACACAGGGACTGCGACTGGGACAGGGACAGAGGCAGAAATGAGGCCTTGTGGGCTGCGCGTGCAGAATTTTCAATCGAATTTGAAAGAAAAAGGGGTGTGCTGTGGGTTGGTTAAAAATCAGGGTTTCTGCCTAATGAATGAAGTGCGCAGAGCATGCGCTTCTGTGTCTAAATAGGTAAACAATTCCAAGAACCTTATAAAGACGTGTGGAAAATATTTAAAACTTCAAAAATCCCAACAGTTTTATTAAGAAATTGTCGTTTCAAAAACTAAAATTCTTATACACAGTATATATCAGTAATACTTATATTAAACTTATCAAACAGTTTCAGTTGCGATATACATTATTTATTTATAACCTTGACATTTACTATAGAGTATGTAATCTATTAAGTTCGCCGAAAAAGCTGAAAAGTATATCACAATTCAAAAATGAAACGAGAAATTTATTAAAATGTTGCTCTTCACTAAAACAATATAAAAAGGCTTTAAAAAGATATATTATATTATAGATTTAAAAACTATTTAAAAAGAATAAAAACTACTATTTTTTTTGCAATAATTTAATGTAGATTATATGATTAAGTCGAAAGTATATCACAATTCACAAGTTAAACGAGAAATTTATTAAACTTTTGCTCTTCACTAAAACAATTTAAAAAGATGTATTATATTATAGATTGAAAAACTATTTTTTAAAATAATAAAAACTAGTATTTTTTTCAATATTTTAAGGTAGATTATAACATTACAACATAAATTTTGAACTCTATGAAAACACAATTCTTCTGATAAATTTGTTTTTATATATTTTATCAATATTTAATTTAAAGGTTTTGTTAAATCTTTAATGTTTATTTTACCCCGAATAATTTAAAGACTTGTGTCTATAGCAGAAAGGGAGCAGTGTCGACAATGGAAGACAAATAGTGTAAGACTTTTGAACTTATTCTACCTTTTAATTTACCTACGATGTAGACGCTTCTTGT